AAATATGTTTCAAATGTCACCAGATGATGTGCAAATTAAAAGTGGAGCTTCAATGGAAACAGGGACATACATAAGAGGAAGGAGAAATGGTAAGTTTCACCTTTTCAAATTTGAATGATAGAGCTATTTACTTTAGAAATTTGGTGGATAAATTGTGTATCCTCTTTCCAGCCCAAATTGTTATTTACTAATCTTTGTTAGCAAAACTTAGAATACAAAAAACATATATGAGTTTTATGACATTTAGTCTTTTGCAAAACACCTCAGCATTTATAATGTTAAAAGCAGTAAAACAACGACAGTTAGAAATGTAAGCACAAGCAGCAATGAAAAAAGGAAATGAAAGGATGGCACATATAGGAAATGTAAGTCAAGTTTGTGAAAGATCAGACATAAGAGTGCAGTTATTAAATATGCCATCACTGGTTGTTCTTGTGTAGCTTGACAAGGATTGAAATAATTTATAATCTCTGCATCTCTTCATAACAGAATGTGAAAGATTACAATGTCAATAATACATGTCATATCTTATGATGATTAGCTTGAACATTCATGATTATGTTATATCTCTCCCTATTGGTGACAGTAAGGTATAATTTATATGCTGCATCTGAGAGATAATCTGCAAGTTTAGAAAGGATTGGAGGAAGTCTGCATCAGTCTGAGCACTTTTGATCCAGTGTTCACATGCTGTAGCAGCCCTACAGGTCAAAGTGTCAGTTATGTGTACTGTTCTCCTTATGTGTATATAAACTCCATTCAAACAAATGCATGGGAGTCAGGATATAGCCTCCAAGCTCCATTGCTTTATTGAGCTGCATATTCATGCACCGAGTGAATAGGAGTGAAACTATAGGAAAAAATAAGAATAACAATGTACAGTGTGAATAATGCTTTAGAGCTGTAGCGTGCTCAGTGTTATACAACAGTACAGGGTGACCGGAGAAGGCTACTGAATACAATGCTCTGCTGATTATGAAATTTACGTACTGTGAGCTTAACATTTAGTAAAATAAGCATTTTAAAGCTATGCGAACTGCATTGACAAAGTACAAATCTTGTGTACAAATGGCTTTAAGCTCTCCTTATATGGTTTAACACACATAGCAACAAAGAATAGAGGCTAAGCTAACAATAGGATATAGACACAAAGCTACATAGCACTTTTCAACACAAATAAGATTAAAGAGCTAATGTGAAGGTGAACCTCACATACTTATAAAATATTAAACTAGTATCTATGATATCGGAAACACTTACAGACGATGCTTTCGATAGGGCAAACAAACAAGATTGCACCAGATTAACTTTACACAGCAACGCTTGGCAGCTGGAGTATCAGACTAAGCTATTCCCTTTCCTTAGCAAGGGAAAGACTAAGGCTGCCAAACTAAAAGTCCTCAGCAGGGGCTGCTTTTTAACATAAAATAAAGACATAGCAGTGTGACTACTCCAGTTTAGGTACTGCTGTGGAAGCCTGTCATGTATATTTTTCTAGGGCCCCCTAAGAACAAAAACTACTAAAATGTGTATGCAAATTTAGAGCAATACCCTACACATGAGCGTCAAGTTTGGAGAGTTGGATAAATTTTAAATTTAAGGCCTTTTTATTTCAGCTGTTTGCATGTTACCTGTAAAGGATAATGTCCACCACAGACATACTGACTCAGAGCCCCTCCCCGTACTTGTGTGTTGAGTTTGTAAAGGATGGGCCAAAGAAAGGATTTAGAGCTTTTTGTTGATGTAGCAACCTGCGGTTGTGTGGTGTGACCAGCCCAATTCTGAATCAAATTTTAAACATTCATTATTTATGACTCAGATTCCTGTAGTGTGGGTGAAACACAGATTCTTATATGAAACACAATGTTAACATCACAAGGGAAAAACAAAAGACAAACTACAAACTATTTTGGTAGAATGGTTACTGTAAATTATTTATTTTAAAAGTAAATTATTTTAAAATGCTTAATATTTCAAAATCACAACATTCAATTTACTGCTCTTTAGGTTTCTAAATCTATCATCTGTTAAATATGACTGCTGACACAGCTTCATCACTTTATTTTGCTAGCTGGCTAGTTAGCATGCTAAAGACAAACACAGCAATTACTTATGTACATTCTGTTCAAGGAGCTCCTTGCTGTTCTCTCCTCAGCTTCTGCCACTGCTTCAAGTAGCCACTTTTGTGACATAGCTGTGATGCACGATCGTGAGTAAAAGTGGTTGAGGGCATGTTAAAAACAGAAATGAGATGGGGCTATGGGGCTCCAGTAGCAGATGACTGAAGTGATGATTGAGACATTTGGCAATCAAGTTTAGTGTTGATTCTTCGGTCTTTGCACTTTATACTTGCATCTCATCCTCATGTTTTCAGAAGAAGGATTAATGGAAATACAATTAGAGAATTTCGATTTTTTAGAAAGGTTTTGAAAACCATGATGTCATCACTAGGCTGGAAAGTGTTAACCAACATTGTCACTGAAAATATTCATTTAATATAGAGGAATATGACGTGTCACAATCGAAATGTTACCTCGTCCATCTTATATTAATGAACTGAAAGAAGACAAATAGAAAACAATTTTCATGAATTATGTGCCACTGTCCTGATCAGAAAGAAGAATGATGACTATGACTATTGCAACAAAGAACCACTGCACATATGGCAAGTTATCTCAGCTAATATCTAAGAGACTTTCTTCTTTTTTATATGTATATAGGAGGTATGTTTGGAAAAATTACATTTACAGCAGGAATATTTGGACAACTTTCTCTACCACCCCCAAAAAGTAAGTTTTATAGTTTATCATTTTGTCTGTGTTAGGTTCAGTATAATCTCCTTATCTGCTTCATCTGACTCATTCTCAGTTCTCTGTGTTAGGTTCAGTATAATCTATTTATCTGCTTCATCTGACTCATTCTCACTTCTCTGTGTTAGGTTCAGTATAATCTATTTATCTGCTTCATCTGACTCATTCTCACTTCTCTGTGTTAGGTTCAGTATAATCTATTTATCTGCTTCATCTGACTCATTGTCACTTCTCTGTGTTAGGTTCAGTATAATCTATTTATCTGCTTCATCTGACTCATTCTCACTTCTCTGTGTTAGGTTCAGTATAATCTATTTATCTGCTTCATCTGACTCATTCTCACTTCTCTGTGTTAGGTTCAGTATAATCTATTTACCTGCTACATCTGACTCATTCTCACTTCTCTGTGTTAGGTTCAGTGTAATCTATTTACCTGCTACATCTGACTCATTCTCACTTCTCTGTGTTAGGTTCAGTGTAATCTATTTACCTGCTACATCTGACTCATTCTCACTTCTCTGTGTTAGGTTCAGTGTAATCTATTTACCTGCTACATCTGACTCATTCTCACTTCTCTGTGTTAGGTTCAGTATAATCTATTTACCTGCTACATCTGACTCATTCTCACTTCTCTGTGTTAGGTTCAGTGTAATCTATTTACCTGCTACATCTGACTCATTCTCACTTCTCTGTGTTAGGTTCAGTATAATCTCCTTATCTGCTTCATTGGCCCAATCCCATTTCTTCTTTTTACCCATACCCTTTGTTTTCGATTGTCACAGTGACATTCTGGCGCTTCAGACGTCAGCACTGCCAAACTATTTAAGGTGGAACGGGAAAGTTAGTTAGCTAGTTACCGAAACATTAGCATGCTGGATGTGAACGCACAAAACAGAGGGCTAAGGGCTGAGTGATAGGGGCAAGGGGTGAAATGGGATTGGGCCGTAGAGTAGGGGTGGGAAATATGGCAAAAATATATAACAATACAAAATACACTGATCAGGCATAACATTATGACCACCTCCTTGTTTCTAAGGTCATTGTCCATTTTATCAGCTCCGCTTACTATATAGGTGCACTTTGTAGTTCTATAATTACAGACTGTAGTCCATCTGTTTCTCTGATACTTTGTTAGCCCCCTTTTGCCCTGTTCTTCAGTGATCAGGACCCCAGTGGACCCACACAGAGGAGGTACTGTTTGGGTGGTGGATCATTCTCAGCACTGCAGTAACACTGATGTGGTGGTGTGTTAGTGTGTGTTGTGCTGGTATGAGTGGATCAGACACAGCTCTTGTTTTATTACATTTTGTAGTTTGGTTTTGTTTTTGTCATGGACTTGTCTGTTCTTCAAACCTCTGCAACTCTGAACTCTGCATTTGCATCCTGCCTCCACCGTTACACTAACAAAGTATGCAGAGAAACAGATGGACTACAGTCTGTAATTGTAGAACTACAAAGTGCACCTATATAGTAAGTGGAGCTGATAAAATGGACAATAAGCGTAGAAACAAGGAGGTGTTCATAATGTTATGCCTGATCGGTGTATGTGAGGTTTGATATATTGGAACAGACAAAATGCACCAATAATGCTACATTTAAAAATATAAAATCCTATCAAAAACTAGGAACACAATGATTTTTATTCAATATTTCACACACTGCTTTGCATGAAACATGTAGTTGGTCATTACTGACAATATACGTGTATCGACAATGACCATTACATGCTCAGAAAAGCATATTGTGACATAATTTACCACATTAATGATAAAATATTATAATATTGCCCACCACTTGTGTAGAGTACAGTATTCTATTTAATCTACTTTTTGTTTCCAAAAAGTTAAATGCTACACGATCGTGCCTGAAAATACCAAAAAACCTTGGACGGAATTTTGGAATGAACTTCTAAAGCGAACACGCTTCCTGAAGGAGTCTTCACTGGAGAGGTGTAAAGTTATTCTAATTGTCTGTCCTGTTGTTTCACGAGCTGGAACGGATATTGCTGCTGCACTGCAAACCCTCAACGAAAAAGATAAAGGCACTGATTCTACTGGTTTATTTCTATAATTAATATAATTTATTAATATAAAAATGTCTAAATTCCAAACTTTTATTTAAATGTTCTATCAATTCTATCAACTATCTGCTGTATTTGCAGATAAACCTGCTGTTCTAGTGGTGCTCCATCACACATTCGATCCAGAGTGCACTGTATCAGACAGCAGCAAAGCTGTGGACAGACCAAAAACACTCACAGTGGACTGTCTGTTCCATGAGGATAAAGGACTACTGCACTGCAGGAAGAATGATGAAGCTCTAAGCAGGGTTGCAGGCTGGCTCAAACACGGGGTACGAATCTTTATTTTACAGACTGTACCTTAAATACATCTCTGTTTTTAAACACAGTGTTATGTTAATGTTACAAAAATCCATAAGTTATTGACACAGTGCATTAGCGGACTAAAAATGGTTGATGTCGTTTTAAAAAACTAGTTTTATGGAAAATCAAATTTTCACAATGACTCTCTTACCTATTTTTGCCACATTATTATATAAATAAATAAGTAAAGAAATTATTAAAATTATTTAAATTAAGATTAATTAAATACATTTCTTTAAATAAATTGAGCTACACCCTCATTTCCAAAAAAGATGGGACTCAAATAAAATAGAATGCAATGATGTGCAGATCATGTAAACCACATTTTTAAAGGAAAATACTACAAAGACAACATATCAAATGTTGAAACTGAGAAATTTTATTGTTTTTTGAAAAGTATATGCCCATTTTGAATTTGATGCCAACAATGCGTTGCAAAAAAGTTGGGACGGGGGCACAATTACCACTGTGTTTCATCACCTCTTCTTTTAACACCACTCTGTACCACTCAATTGCTGTAGTTTTGAAAGTGAAATGTTTTCTTGTTCTTGTAAAGATATAGGATTTCAGCTGCTCACCAGTTCGGGGTCTCATTTGTCGTATTTTTAATTTAATAATGTGCCACATGTTTTCAGTGGTGACAGGTCTGGACTGCAGGCAGGCCACTTTAGCACCCAGGCTCATTTAATACGGAATAATGTTGTTATAATACATCCAGAATGTGGTCTGACATTGTCTTGCTGAAATAATTAAGGCCTTACCTGAAAAAGACGTCATCTGGATGGCAGCATATGTTGCCAAAACATGTATATATCATTCAGCATTAATGGTGCCTTCACAGATGTTTATGTGACCCAAGTCATGTACACTAGTGCACCCCTACACCATCATGAACACTGGCTTTTGAACTGTGCACTGATAACAAGCTGAGTGATCTTTAGCCTGGAGGATGCAGTGTCCATGATTTCCAAAAAGAAATTCAAAAGTTGATTTGTTGGACCACAGGACAATTTTCCACCTCCCCTCAGTCCATTCTAAATGAGATCAGGCCCAGAGAAGGCGGCGGTGTTTCTGGATCATGTTTATATGCGGTTTCTTCTTTGTGTTTTAGAGTTTTAATTAACATTTGTGGATGCAGCAACAGACTGTTTTCACACACAGTGGTTTTCAGAAGTGTTTCTGAGCCCATGCAGTGATTTCCACTACAGAATCATGTCTGTTTTTAATGCAGTGCTGCCTGAGGGCCTGAAAATCATGGCCAGCAAATACTGGAATACTAGTTTTTGGCCTTGTCCCTTGAATACAGAGATTTCTCCAGATTCTCTGAGTCTTTTAATGTTATTATGTACCGTAGATGATGAAAAGCAAAAGTTCTTTGCTATTTTACATTGAGAAACATTATTCTTGAATTGTTGCACTATTTGCAGTCTTTCACAGAGTGGTGAACCCTCCTCATTGTTACCTCTGAAAGACTCAGCCTCTCTGGGATGCTTTTTAATACCCAATCATGTTACTGACTTGTTGCCAATCAACCACCAGGTGTTTTTGTAGCATTATACAACTTCACCAGCCTTTTGTTGCCTCCGTCCCAACTTTTTTGGAATGTGTTGTTGGCATCAAATTCAAAAAACAATAAAATTTCTCAGTTTCAACATTTGATATTTTCTGTTTGTACTATTTTCAATTATATATAGGGTTTAAATGCTTTGCACATCATTGCATTTTGTTTTTATATGCATTTTGGACAGCGTCCCAACTTTTTTGGAAATGGGGTTGTATATCTAGTAGTTCTACTTAAGCAAACTATGTCTTCTAAAAAATTAAGCATGGTTACATAGCTTGCTAGGCAGTAGGAGATGTAGTTCCATTTCGTTGTTAACTTAAAACTCCTGTTATGTTAGACTGTAATGAACAGCAATAATGTTCCTGTGTAAAATTGACCTGATGCATGTTTTAATGACATTTTTTATATGATTGTCTCTCTTGGAGTTGATGGCTGTGAGACAATATACTCATCATCTGATAATTTATCATTATGATCAGAAATGATCTCAAGATCATCTTCACTTTCAGACACTTCCTCTTCTGTATCACTATCCTAATCCTTTCTGCTCATATTGCTCATCTTCACAACCTCTGAGAGAGTACAGATGCATAATGTTGGTAGGACTACATACGGGGACCCAGAGTTTTGCCATGGGTTCCCATCTCAGGTAGAATAATATTTGATACTTCTCACACTTTTGATACAAGTTTGATATTTTTACTCTTTGTAGCCTCCATTCTCACTTCTGGGTCAAATTGACCTGAACATTATTTGTTTAATATAAACATGTGGTGGTGGCGGGGGATGGGTTACAAACATATTAAATTAGTAATTTTCTTTATGTTTTTTACACTAATTAAGACTAACAAAAAAGTTTGATGCTCCAAAAATGATTGCAAATATTTTTCCTGTATTTTTAAACAGGTCCATTTGACCTGCAACATACCAGAAGAGTTAAAGAAGTAGCTAGGTTAGTACTTTTAATAATTTCTTGCTACAATGATAAATAGCAATAGATTGGATAAATTATTCACTAGCTATCCAGACACTCCAAACATCACAATTTCATGATCTGGTAATCCATAGAGAATGTGGCGCTCAAATATTGCACTGAGAATGTAAAGGCACCCCAGTCCTTGCTCAGACTGATGTGCTGTAGCATTGGAGAAGCACTGGAGCATGTCTTTAAAGCCTGAAGCTATCCTGTGGTCTATATCACAATCAGAGATTACAAAAATAAACCCTACAGCAGGCCAAAGCAGTCAACCTAAATAAATGAGAAAAGTCATTGTTGTACATTCCATGGTGTCACTACCAAAATAGCTGTAACACTACTGAAACTCTCTGTTTCAGTAGTGACTGTTTTGGTAGTGACAATTTTAGCTGAGTTCAAAAATGCTAGCCAGTACATCACATGTCAACTACTGACATATACATGTAGGACAGCACATCTCTTAAAATCTCTGGAGAATAAATATTTCAGCAAAAAATATTCCTTCAATATTTTCCCCCAAAATGACATTTAAAGGAGTGTTTTGTATTTTCTTTTTTCTCTGTCACCTTTCACCATTCTGCTCTGTGGGCGTGGACCCCAGCAGATTGATTGACAGTCTTAGCGTTTGACATAACCTCTGCAACAGATTCTGACGTGGAGGCACGTCAATCAATAGAAACATGGATGGGTGGGCACTGGCAGGATGTAACAGCTTCGTCATTAAAGGTGGAACACAAAAATTTAAACAAGAAACTGATGACTTAGAAGCTGATTTCAGCTTGTGTTAACATTACAGATGAAATGCAAAACCTTCAATTAAATAAGGGATAATTAAGTCTTCTGGTTACATTAAATTAGAGAGTATTTAGAGCAGTATCATCTGTGTATTTCTTACATATTGATCACTTTTACCTTAATTTATTCAGAGAATTAAATTAGCCACTTGTAAATCACTGTGTTTATTCCACTGGCAATCACTGACTGAGATTCCACTGTTAGCTAACATAAGCTAGCTAGGTTTTATCTGGCTGGTTAACAAGGTCTAGCTAACATGCATCAACTATAAGTTACATGGCGGGAGCTAAACGTGGGACAGTGATTATTGGCAATTTCAAAAATGTCAGTGTATCATATCATATAACATTATAAAATATACATTTGTAGCTGACTTGAATCTTAGATGCAAAATATTTTATGGCAAGTGGATAATGTTAATGTAACGCTAGCAAGCAAAATTAGATGACTAAATTAGCTAACATTAGTCTGCACATTTTGCTACTTTCTCATTGCTTGGTACACTATTGAAAAAAGTTTCAAATAAAAACGATAACTATTATTTAAAAATATAGATTTACCATCTTATCATCCACATTGCCTCCAGTTAGTGTCAGGAAAACTGCTGCTTTCAGCTTGATTAGGCTGGCAAATCCAGAACTGTATTAAGCCCAATTTTCAAATGAGTCTGCAATAAAATGCTAGGTAGAAACTCTTCTACTGGGTGTCACTTCAACCCCAGAAAGAAAATTAAGCCATTTTGATTTGGTCTATTTGGTCTATTGGTTATTTGGAATAGAATGTAGAGAGTGTCCATTCTCCCTCTTGTGTCCAAAAACTGAGCATTGGTAACTAAGTGTCATTTCCTAGTAACTGTAACGTTACTCAAGTAGAGCAAAATGGAGCATGTGAAGTGTGAGAGGATCAGTTGATTTCACAATTCATGAATATGCAGTATAAGGTAGCTTATGATTCCCTCTAGTCAATTAGTGTTGTCTGTGACGTCTAATATCACGCCAAATAAAGTGTAATTCCTGAACGGTGGTCAGGGGGCAGTATACCAAAAAAAAAAAATAATAATTTACAGGTCATTTTATGCACTCTGCAGTGCCCAAGAACTGTTGGACCAAAGCAGAAGCATGAAGATAATCACATACTTCCTGCTAATATAACATTTTGAGTAAGGAGGAAACATACTTTTCTGGGCCTTCAATAAACTGATGATACATCTACATTTTTTAACTTCACTTTAAAAGAAAACAAAAAGATATAAAAACATTTAAAAATGAAAAAAAAAATTAGGTGTAAATTTAAAGCTTGGGGTTTGGAACCACCACCTCCAAAAAGAAAGCATCCTATAAATAATGGTTTTAAAAGTAGGTGGCCTAGTATTATCTATATTAATGCCTTAGGTTTAGATCATATCGATCATAATGTAATCCTATGTAATATATATATATATATATATATATATATATACACTATATATATATATATATATATATATATATATATATATATATATATATATATATATATATATATTTATTTATTTTTTTTTCCTGCTTTTTTTATTGTATGTATTAGTATACAGTCTTATGCAAAGGTCTGAAAACGCCCCAGTAAAATGAAATGGTTTTCCTTTTTCATTGAAATGAAGTGAAAATAAGTTATCACATCCTCTACAGAGAACACACTTAAATATGGCATTTTTCTTATAATTTTAGTGCACAATTTCTATTTATTTACGGAAAAAATAAAACTTAACACATAAAATAAGCCATGACTTTTTTACAAAAACCACATTTTATATTTTATTTTTTCCAGTAGGTTAAACTCATCATATCATGAGTAATTGTGCATTAAAATGTGCAGAAGTTCTTTCTCTGTAGAGGATGTTATTTTAACTTAGAAAACAAAACATGACATTTAACCAGGGGCACCTAAACTTTTGCATAAGACTGTAAATATACACTCACCGAGCACTTTATAAGGAACATTGTACTAATAATGTACTAATACTAACTAATAATTGCTCTCAAAACAGCCTCAATTCTTTGTGGCATCGATTCCACAAGATGTTGAAAATATTCCTTTGAGATTTTGGTCAATGTCGACATGATTACATCCTGCAATTCCTGCAGATTTTTCAGGTGTGCTTTTGTGCTGCAACTCTCCCGCTTTATCACATCCCAAAAGTGTTCTTAGGTGACTGGAAAAGACACTTAAGAATACTGAACTCATTGAGATGTTCATGAAACCAGTTTGAGATGACATGATACATTGTGACATGATGCATTGTTCTACTGGAAGTAGCCATTAGAAGATGGTAAATTGTGGCCATGAAGGGATGCTCATGGCCAGCAATAATACTCAAATAGTCTGTGGCATTCAAGCAATGATTGATTGGTATTAATGGGCCCAAAGTGTGCCAGGAAAACATTCCCAACACCATTACACCACCTCCCCCAGCCTGGACTGTTGACTCATGGTGGGTTGGGTCTATGGATGTGTGTTGTTGGTGCCAAATTCTGACCCTACCATTTATGCCCCTCAGTAGAAACAGAGATTCATGAGAGCAGGCTGTTTTTCCAGCCTATAGCTGTCCAGCTTTTGTGACTGTGTGCCCACTGCAGCTGTTCTTGGCTGATAGAAACAAATCCACCTCAATGATTGACATGCTGTGTTGTTGACATGTTGTGTTCTGAGATGCTTGTCTGTTCACCACAATTGTACAGAGTGGTTGTCTGAGTTACCATAGGCCTTTCTATCAACTCCAACCAGTCTGGCCAATATATGTTACCTCTTTCACCAACAATGTGTTTCCTTCCAAAGAACTGCCACTCACTAGATGTTTTTTTCTTTTTTTGCACCATTCTGAGTAACTCTAGAGACTGCAGTGCATGAAAATCGCAGGAGATCAGCAGTTATAGAAATACTCAAACCAGCCCATCTGGCACCAACAATCATGACACAGTCAAAATCACTAAGATCACATTTTTTCCCCATTCTAATGGTTGATGTAAACATTACCTGAAGCTGCTGGCTTGTATCTGCATGATTTTATGCACTGCATTGCTGCCACATGATTGACTGATTAGATAAATGCATGAATGAGTTGGTGTACAGGTGTTTCTAATAAAGTGCTCAGTGAGTGTATAAAGGACAGTGTTTGCCACTCAAAGTGGTCTAATGTGAGGGACATCTTGCTGTCATATGCTAGTACTAAATGAGTGTGTTTTAGCAGAGATTAAAGATACAGTGAGATCTCAACACATTTACTTGTTTTTTTTTTTTTGATGACCGTTTTCCTCCCGCTGGACAAGGAGCTTTCTCCCAGAGATTGGGGAGATTGTAAAATCTCAAGCACTGAAATTTTTTTAACTTTGGTGTATGTAATCAGCCAAGAAATGTTTGGTGTCTGAAATGTATTTCTATAGTTTCACACTATAGAACTGCCAGTACCTGAATGAAAGATGTCAGCAAGATAGATTAGCTAACTTCCGGTGACTGAAGGAAATAACAATTTAAAACATGTACATTGGCTTCGAGTGACAAAATGTTGACATACTTAGAGGAACAGGCACTTGAGCCTACACCAGCTAGGAAAAAGGTCTGTGAATGAAAGAGCAGGTAATGTTAGCATGGCTAGATAGTTACTCCACTTGTTGTTTGGGAGATTGTGTGGATCAGATTATCACTGAGACAGATTTGATCATTATAGGTTATAGTTGTTTGACATCCCTTAGGAGTCAGTTAAGATATTCCCTCATTTCATTTGATTCAATATAAAGCATGACAAGCCTGAAAAAAGCAATAAAATAGCAGTTTCTTTACGATCTTGCTGTGTGACTATTTGCAGCATATAAACAATAAAGGAACCCTGTCAATATGGCAGCACAATCCCAAAATGCAGCACAATGTGATGTCACATTTATTTGCAATGTAAAATGGTGGTTTTTCTTTTCTAACTCTGTTTTGAAAATCTCAGACACTGCAGACATGATCTCCACCTTCCCCTCTTATTACCTTTGTGTGTTATGTTGATGAAAACTCATCAGATAAAATATTGCAGTGATGGCAGTGAATAATGAGGAGACAGAGCTGTATGTCTTGCTGTTTATTAAGAGGAATAATGTAGCGCACCTCAAAGCTTGGCTAAAATGTTAGGGAATGGAAATGGAAACTCAGGTGTCTTATGCATCCGAGCACTGCGACTAAAGAAATTGACTCTGACAAAGCAACAGAAGTCAATAAATGATATCTAAACACTTGTAATAAATAAATACATAAAATGAATAGTTTAAATAAATAAGAACAACAAACTAAAACTAAAATTATAATGTGATGAATAAAGCAATAATTGTAATTTGTTACATCCTTGCCATTTAAATATGTGACTCTGAAGGCTATACAAGAGATACAAATAGCTCTTAACTCAGGGGTGTCCAATCTATCAACAAAGGGCTGAAGTGGCTGCAGGTTTTCATTCCAACAAAGCAGGAACCCATCTGATCAATTGTTGAAGACTGAGACCAACTTATTATCCCCCTTGGGGATAAGACTGGACTCCCCTGATTTAAAGTAAGGTTAATAATAAAGCTTAAATATTATAGTTCAATAGTAATTTTAAGAACAAGTATTTGTTCTCACTGTAAATACTGTAAGTACTCACTGAAAATACCACCAAGCATTTAAATCATATAAAATGCTGTTTGGGCCAATCCCTTGAATTAGATGTGCAGTTTGTGTGATGACAATTTAGCTTTGCTAAAGAAAAAACTTGCCAAACTAAATGTATCTTGGCTGCATTTGGGTAAAGGGGATGATTGTGTACATCTGATTTTCCAATTAACTATTCTTTTATTGTTTTGATACAAAATTCATTACAATTTATACAATACATTATGATTCAGTTTATTACTGAGAACACATAGACTGGAACTTTTTTTTCTTTTTGCTTGAAAATGAATCATAATGTGCCTTATATTTCACTCCACAGAAAGGACAACAGCCACCACCAAGTAAGTAATGGAATAACAGGCAATGTAATACATCTAGATTTGACATAAACTGACACATTATTGATTCCACACAAAAGACCTTTCCCTCATTTTAGCTTTTCAACAGAACAGAACAACATGCATTTAAATTCAAATTTTCTTTTCCAAACTGACATTGTTCTTAGCAAGTTAATTGATATAACTGAATATTCACAAAAATGTAACTTTGTAACATACTCAACACGTGCGCAAACACAAATGAGAATGCCTGGCCAATGCACTATAAACGCACAGCCCTTTGGTACAAACTCACTGTACATTATTATGCTACTGTTGTGGTTAAAACACTCAGTACTCAAGGGGTTGAACGAGGACAAATCAGAGAGGGACCTACTATTATTCCAACAGCCTCAACAGCTAAATGTGGATAAGTAGAGAAGCATGAGCTGCTGGAATAAAAAGTGTGTAATTAATTTGCTATGGCAGTTGAGAACGCACGCTGGCCGTACAAGACTGCTTGGTCAGGCTTGGCTGTCATTATAGTGCCCTTTGCTGTAATGCTCAAAATGTAGGGCATGCATGTGTTGCATTATGAATTGCATTGTGACACATTCTAACATTGTTTAGAGCATAACAAAGCACAAAACTTTCAGCATAGCTTGAAGCATCTGCCTTTTCATCCTTGCATGAAGTATGTTTCTGGCTTTACACTGAGAGCAAATAATTTCCGTGTATGTCATTTATGTATACGTAAGGCTGAGCCAAGACTATTATATCGCTTAGAGCTAACCAGGATGTTACATCTCAACATCAATGGTTCTTAGCTCCAGTCCTACCATTCTCTGCCCCAACACAGCTGAATCAGAACTGGAACTGAGAGCAGTGTTCTAGATCCTCCGTCCTTGCATCACTTTCTTTTCTTTAATATTAATGCAAACAAAACCCACAGAAATAAATGAGTGAGAAGGAAAAGAAATCGATTGTTATAAATTATGTGCAAGTATGAACTCATACCAGCACCAGTCTTACCATTTCCACATCTGAACCTGCTGAACAGTCAATTATCAAGCCTTTTATAATTTAGATACCCAGGACTTGGCACTAGTGATCTACAACCCCATTTCCAAAAAAGTTGGGAAAAGTTGATGTAGCTACACCTGGGAGTAGAACAAAAGTTCGATTTTTTTTTTTTTTCCTTTCTGAGTGTGAAACACCCCAAACAAACCCCAGTTTCTATTCTGAATAACACACATTTCTACCTCTAATCTGACAGTAGATGTTTTATTTTCGTTTCAAGTTCTACACCAAAAACTGGACAAACCTATTATAAGTTGGATGAGATGTGATCCTCATTTAATAGCCATTATCAATGCAAATGTGAATGCTAATATTAATAATGAGTACATACCCCACTTAAATAAAAAAGAAGAGGAATAGAAATTGATTGCCATAATGTATGTGTGAGTATATTCATCAGAAAAGTAAACCATACGACTGTTCCAGCTCAAAAAAGAACTGCTACTTAGCATAAATTCCAGCACAGATTCTATTGCACTACGTAGAGAAGTTAAACCTTCGTCACAAAAGTTTACAATGCTTCCAAAAGAGTAAATAATTGCCATATGACACAGATGTGTTACAATGGTGTATTTTTGCTGAACCACCCAGTGGGCCTACAAGAGTCGCTATGTTTTTCTAAGTCACTGACTGGTTGACTGACTGACTGACTACCCATTGTTGAAATGCACAAGGGTTTGTGCAAGGGTCCCCTGAAAATGGTAGCCAGTGGTGCCACACACTGTGTTGCCCTCTTAGCCTGACAATGCTACCAATGCAAGGCTAACAAATAATGTAAGAAATCAGAAATGCATTAATTGAAGCACATAATCTTATGATAAAAATGACGTAATAACTGGTGAAATAACACAGCGGCCACACCATTTATTTGCAATCGATCAGTTTGTAACATTAATTCTTTTTTCTTTCATCTTGCTGAATTAGCAGCCTTTCCATGTGGAAAAAATATGTTCCAAATTTATCTATCAAATATCTTTTTGCAATATATGAAAATCAGCAAAAATGTTTTTGTTAAATTCATTTTTTAATTACATTTATTTGTATCTGTTGATACATTTTTTTTTTCAGTTGTAGGTAGTTTTAACAAAGCTTGCAGATAAAACTAAATGGTACTGACGTCTATGTTTTGCGTTGCACTTTGCATTAATCATTGTATGTATGCGGTAAGATGTATTTCAAAAGTACTAAACTATATGTCGATATATTTTTTCCATAAGGGTTATTTAGCCATTTTTAGTATTCCAGGCAAAGATACAGTCACCAAGTACTAGTACATGAAAAATATGTACACCATAAATGTGAATGGAATAATATTTTGTGTTTCAATCACTATTTGTAGAATTATCACTTTGTGAAGAGTTTGCCAAGTTAATGTTAGCTAGCTCAGAAACTATAATATTTGTGCTACTAGCATGTACCTAGCAGGACTGGAGTGAGACTTGTCTTCAAACTGGGAGTTACATGATGATGACCAACCCAAACCAAACTGTATTTCTCCTGTTACACACAAACACACAGCATTGCATTAGTGCAGAATAACTTTTCCTAAAATCTGCACATTTTTATCTTCTTACTCGTAGTAATTATTTATATGCTACAGTGAGATAATTAAGATGGCTAGGTAATGATGCAATGAAACAGGCAAAAGATTTTATCTTAAATGTGACAATCACGACAATTTAATGCTAGCCATGTAAAGGTCAGCATTTTTCATTGCCCACCTGCTTGGATATGTCCCCACCTTAAGTAAATTTTTCATTCTGGTCTTATCGGTGCCACCTTTTATTTTTATTATTATTATTATTATATATATATATATATATATTTAAACAGGCCTTGCAGTTTAGAAAAAAAGTTTTTTAAGGATTTAAACTGTGCCCACTAACTGCACGCTTTGTAAAAATAAAGCATGGCACAAGAGCATCAGCAAGCTCAAGACAAAACAGAAACAAAGTTCAGTCATGAAGAGAGAGCTGCTGCTTCCCTCTGTTCCTAATCAAAACAAATGTCAGCTTTAGTGAATCAAGCACCTGAGTTTAAATAATGCTATTGTGTTGGTAAATATTCTTTGAGCATATGTGAGAGCCTCATGTCTCCATCTAGGCGGCGTCTGCTCTCAGCAGCAATTAATCTCCATCCATTTTTTGCACAACCGTGTCACATTTTGTGCTGCCCTCTCTCAAATACATATGCATGAAGTAGGAAAGCACATGCTGCATTTTTTGTGCACATGGGCTATGTGTGCCATCTCACAGAAACTGCATGGTTAGGCTGGTGTGCCACTTTTGTACATAAAAAGCAGGCAGAATGCATCCAGATCTGTATGTGCATAAAGTTTAGTACACTGGGCCCTCAGTCTTTTTTTTTTTACTTTTTGCCATATAATTATGAACATGGGCCAACCATGCATTTTATTGTTTAATGCTTCAGTTAAGCAGCTGTTTTACCCACCCAGTGCTGACAGTGTTTTATGTACACCTTTACAGTCTAGGTTTAGCTTTAATACAATTAGAGCTTTTAAAACACTCAAATAAATTCTTTGCCCTATGCTGCAGTTTTACAGGTTAAGGGCAGATTTGCTGATGTTTTGACTTTAAAAAGTGGCTGTTGCGATTTACTAAGAAAGGGCAACGTTTTTTTTAGCACCTAAAATAAGATAAAGGGCGCGGGCTTCTCTTTTGCCTCATTTCATATTCATTTATAGGAGTTTCCCACTCAAAGCGCGAAACACTAAGAAGATATTATTATAATGAAGCACTTATTCTGATTAACTAACCCTGTCGAGAAAAAACAGCGCAGGTCAACACTAGCCCAGCATGAACCAGTTTAGACCACACACACACACACACACACACACACACACACACACACACACACACATTTTCTAAGCCACTTATCCTTCTGGGTCGCAGGGGGAGCTGGAGCCTATCCAAGCAGTTATTGCGTGGAAGGCAGGAAACGCCCTGGACAGGTTACCAGTCCATCGCAGGGCAGACAGACAGACACATACATTCATGCCCACACTCACACCTAGGGTCAATTTAGCATGACCATTTGGCCTGACTGCATGTCTTTGGACTGTGGGAGGAAACCAGAGCCAGTTTAGACCAGCATAAGCAAATTTATACAAACATACCAGCATGTAAAACACAGCATATGCTGGTTTTGCTTCAGTTTTTTTCTAACAGGGAATGCTGACAGTAAATGCTGAATGTGCTTTATTTCAATTTGTCTTATTTTTTATTCTAACGTGGCTGCCATTGTTGTTGCCGAGAGATAGGGAAAAAAGTTTATCAGAGACTTTTTCAACTTCATTGTAAAAAATAATTGTGTCATTCTTAATTTAATGAAGTAAATAAAAAACAATCCAATTGATTTTAGTAATAATAGCAGATTTTGTCTGATTGTTTTCTATTCTAAAGGATTGTAAAACTGTATTGGTGCTGCAGGCATCACTTTACTAAAAGCTACTTGTTACTTGTCCTCACACAGCGAAAGTGCAACACGAAGGGGAAGCTGAACCCAGGAGTGGGACTTCTAAAGAAGGAGGGGCAGAGAGTAAGTTTTAATTTTCAGTAAAAGTCCTGTTTACCCTAGAATTTTGTTGGACGAATAATTGAACAGTCCTTATTGAACAGCCAGAAACAATACGACTGTTCCAGCTCAACAAAGAACTACTGCCAGTTATCATAGTCATCATAGCTTGGATTCTTTCATTTCAAGCCTGTGGTCGTTATTTTCATACAGGTCAGTCTGGAAAACATGACAAAGATGAAGCTCCACCTAGGGTCGAGCACACTGGAGGTGAAACTGTGAGTGGGACACCCAAAAAAAAGCCAAAAAAGTTTCAACTGTAGATGATGGCACAGTTTACCGTACAATTTTGATAAAAATGAATAATGTATCATCGTTCCAGCCCAAACTCTGTTCTAATAATCAGAAAAAAATAAGCCTTTATTGCACAAGCTTATAATATGTTCAAACAAAAAGAAAGAAAAAAGGAATAATGCCATGTTAATAATGTTACAAGGTTGAATTATTTTCTGTACAATCAGCTAAGAGTGGTATTAATTATAATCACCATTTTTTACAATTACACTACTGCAATTGCTCTTTTTTCTTTAAAGCAGTTTCTGTTCTGAGTAATGCACAGAACCAGGCTGCATTGTTACCTCTCATCTGACAGTAGCTGTTCATTTTAAACTCTTGACCAACATTTAGACAATACTCTAGATTAGTGCTTCTGAGCTCCAGTCCTTCCATTCTCTAACCCAACACACCTGAACCAGCTCATCAGTAAATTATTGAGAGTTTTATAAGTTGGATGAGGTGCATTGGGGTGGATTATTCAGTACAGTGATTTCCCAAAAATGGATTTGAGACTGTTGATCTAGATGACTGTCTCTGCTCTCTACTGACCTTGATCTACTTTCAGTGATCTCTGCTTTACCCTCTGTCAGCATGCAGCTGGTTTAATATATGTAAATAAATCGCATAATAACACAAACATTAGATGTTTGAAAAAAGTAATTTAATCTAAGTGATCATTGAAGTAAAGCATTTTGTGCACCACTTATTGCCAATAATGCCATTTTATTGTGTTTAAGCTATGAATTAAAACAATGACATTTAAAATATTTTTTTAATTCCTCCCTGATGACAATTCACACAGTAGATTCTAGTATATTTCTATTTATTGAAGGCAATTTATAGTAGAGTTCAACAACAACAAAAAAACAATGTATATAAAATATAAACAAGAAGAGAATGTCTAGAAACATTGATCTAGAAATATAGCTCAGTAAGACCACTGAGAATGACTACTGCATATTCAAGTGTCCAAAAGACACAAAACAAATTTGCATTCATTAAATGTCAAAGCAGCCATTAAATACAAATTTGTATAATATTTTTTTGTATATATTTGTAAAAAAAATTTTTTAGTAATTAGTGTGTCCATCTTCCTTTGTTCTTTGAAGGCTTACTTTTAGGGCTATTTTTGCTGTCTTAGAAGTTGAGGTTTCTGCTCCTTGTGATCCAAGTAGTCCCAATTACAAATTTAGACAGATCAATCCATAAAACCTTATATCTCAGGTGTTATAGAGCAAATGTTCTTCTTTTGTGTCTATTTCCGTTTCTCAGTAAGGGCTTCTTGACAGCTACACATCCTTTCAGACCACAGTGTTGAGTTGTCTTCTTACAGTGGAAGGATGGACAGAAACATCTGTGAATTTTTAGATCTGAAACAAGAGTGGAGCTTGATTTTCTCCTCTCTCTCAAAGATGAAAGCTTTAAGTACTGTTTATTTACCACATCTAGCTACAAACACGATATGAAAATGACGTGTTAAAACACGTTTTTCTTCTTTACTGTGCCGTATTTCTGAGTGAAACAGGATACTCAGAAAATAATAATGGACAGGAGGTAAATTTATTATTCAGGAGTTGAAGTTAAGTCACAGACAGTATCTTATCCGATGTTTCACATTTTTAGTTGGTCGTTCTCTAGTTGTTGGTTGGTGAACTATTCTCAGTCCAGCAGTGACACTGAGGTGTGTAAATACTCCAGCAGCACTGCTGTGTCTGATCCACTCTTACCAGCACAACACACACTAATAGGACACCACCACGCCAGTGTTACTGCAGTGCTAAGAATGACCCACCACCCAAACAGTACCTGCTCTGTGGTCCTGTGAGGGTCCTGACCATTGAAGAACAGGGTAAAAGGGGGCTAACAAAGTATGCAGAGAAATAGATGGACTACAGTCTGTAATTGTAGAACTACAAAGTGCACGAATATAGTAAGTGGAGCTGATAAAATGGACAATGAGCATAGAAACAAGATGGGTGTACCTAATAAAGTACTCAGTGAGTGTAAAATAAACAGATTTTTTCAAAAAAATGAGGTAGTACAATATTTTAATTGTGCATTTCCTGTAGTATCTGAAACAAGATTCATTATTTGTTAAAAGCTTGATTTTTTAAAAAACTTTTTAAGACATAGCAGCCTAGCCATTTAGCATGCATGTTGCTTTCACTTTTCTTACACTTTCAGGGCAAAAGCAGGAGAAAAAAGAAAAAAGTCATCAGGTTATCGTTCAGAATCAGGTCATCGTGCAGAAAACCTTAGAAAACAGTTCAAATATCGCCATATATCTGAACTGCCCAGGTGTGGATTTAGGGGCAGGGCCACAGGGTCAGTGGCCTCAGAGAAAATCTGATTGGCCCCTTAAGTGCCCCCATCTTAAGACACTCGCCACCTCCAGTCACATCATTGACAAACTTGTCCACCTTCAGTGAAATTCCTATTGCTACTCACGTAAATTATACAGGTTGAAAGAGTTTCAGGAGTGCTGCTGGATAATATCAACTTAGCTAAAATTACTAGAAATCAGTGCTTTAATGGTACTGCTAAATGAAACCTCTTCTTTACAATAGAAGTATTTTAAGCAGTTAATTTCATTTTCACAAATATGATCTCTCTCTTCAATAGCTTTAAAATGGTGGGTGCAAAAAGGCTAGTATGAGTAAATTATCATTGTTAACAATTGCGATACTCAGATACCGCTTTGTTTTTGTCTGAAATTGATGTAGAACGCAATTGCAAGTGGCAATTATTGGGGTCCAAGCACACAACATCTTATGGTGCCAGTATAGGCCTTTCAACAGACAGAAGACAAGTGACAGTGAGTTTTTAGAATGGTCACTATTTGTTATTTTTTTTTAAACAAATATTTCAAATACTGGACGTCTGTACAGTTTTTGACATGACTTGAATTGCCTCAATGAACTGAATTTTTCTACAATATTCATCTTTCAAGGGTACCCAATCCTGGTGTTGGAGATCTACCAGCCTGCAAAGTTTAGCTCCAGTCTTTATATAACACACCTGATCCATTTAACAGATGCCGTCAGAGGCTTCTGAAAATTAGATACAGATCTGAACATTGGTGAATCTCCAGGACCAGGACTGGTCCCCTGAACAGGAAACATTACAGCCCCACCTAGAAAAAAATCCTAGAATGACAAGTGGAACTTTCTCACTTGTGTTAACATGAAGAAGGGTTGCCAGCATAAACAAAATGAAATAACTCAGAAGTAATTAATTTACAACAAGTGAGTAAAGTAAGAAGAAAAAAGGAGGTTATCTGCTGACATACATGCATTTGCAGCCAGGAGCGGAGGTGATGATGGGTGTTCGAACATAGATCAGGATGGTGGGAGGAGGAGGGATAAAATGTTAAGACATTATTGGTTATTATAGTTTTTCCCGGCCACTGGAACACGTGATGCAACCAAATGTCAGACAGCATTTAAAGGCAGACAAAAGTTGCTACACTTCAATCAGAGCTTACAGAGAAACAGGAATTTTGTTTTTTAAATGACACAATGGATTGTGTGAAATGACACTGAATGAAAATTGCAGCATAAATGTTTAATAAATGTTCTAGGTCACAACTCAAACTGAAGCAAATTTGTGACCATATTAATGCCTTTGAACAGAAAGGTCAGTGCTTCAATTGAAGCTTGTGTTCAGACGATTCTCAGGAGGATCTGATCTACTGATCAGGGGCTTTTACACAAACTTATGGAGTCCATGCCAGCTTGTATGTATGTTGTCATTAAAGCAAATAGGGAAAAATACCAAATACTAAGAAATTCTGAAATTCATTCAGATCTTTCAAAGATTCTATTTGTCACTCAAATTGTTATGCTGATAATAGAACAATAGAACATATTGTGTTAAATTTAAAAAAGAGTGCAAAATAGAAGCATTTTCACTAGTGGTCTCAGACTTTTGTACCCTACTGTATGTTATTTTATGAAAAATCTAAAAATCATTTAACCTATTTGACAGTAAAGGAAAATAAAAGAAAAACATATGTTAAGGAATTTCATGTCTTTGATAAAAAATACCTGAATCAGAATTTACCTTATGGTATCATGGTAATATGGTATCTTGGAGTTGTCCTGAAATATGATGTGGTCGAAAGACACATTGTCTAAATATTCACCCAATCATAGCTTTCAATATTAGTAATATTAGTAATACTGAAAGCCATAGTACCATTTTAGCACTATTGTCACTGAAAATGTGAATTTGAGGAAAATTATGTGTCACAATTAAAATATGTAAAGTGTCTTTTTTATATTAATGAATAGAATTCCATTTATATGTAATAAATAAGAGAATTACAAAATTAATTTGTGAACTATAAGAAATAATCCTGATCAGAAAAGAAAACTGATGAGAATTGCAGCTTAACAATCACTGCACATGTGGCAAGTTGTCTTGGCTAATATCTGAGGGACTTACTTTTCAAGTCAGTTTTTATTTTGATATAGGTCACCCTGAACGAAGGCAAAGGCAAAGGCAAAGGCAAAGGCAAAGGCAAAGGCAAGTCCAAAAATAAACAATGAATATTGGGTAAGTTGTTAACTTAATTTATATAATTAATACATGACAGTGCTGTCAGAACAAAATGTCATATCTCCATTTTGATATTTCTCTTTTCATTTTTTTTTGTTTTCATAATTTAAACATCTCAGTTGCCCTTTACATTGTGCATAAATATCATGATGAATGGACTAAAAGAAATCCAGAAAAGAAGCCCAGAACTACTTGAAAAAGTCTGGTTACATTGATTTGCATTAAAAATAAAGTATGCTTTTGCCTTATTAAGTTACTGTTTTGGAGATGCAAGGTTTTGCTCTGACAGCAACAATATATGTCACTGATAATACAACACATACATCTGGTGTTTGAAGGAAATAAAGTAAAACTTAATTTTAGGTGTCTGTTATAGTGCTCTTGTAATGCCCTGTTTAGAGCCAACAGTTGGTAATTAACTGGCTGTCTTTTTACTATAATCATATAATATATGAACTATTTACTATAGCTATGTAACTATATAGTAATATACAACTATGTGGTAATATAGGTTATTAGCTATTTACTATAGTTAAGCAATAACTGTTGAATTAAGCATTGTGCAGAGTATGTTTATTGATAATTATGTGGCACCTCCATATTGGCTGGTGTTAAAGGCCAACCAATGTATTGTTCAGTTCCTAATGGACACATCCAAGCAGTGTTTTGCTATGACAATCTTAAGAAACCAAATCTTACTAAGTTCAGTACGGACTAGAAGATATGTTAATACATACAGTTCATGCAGACCCCATGTTCAAGTAGGGGTTATGCACCAACTATGTGTTAGTAAATGTAAATGTAAAATTGAAATCTTCCCTTTAGAACTGTGGTCAGTTTATGTACATATAAAGCTAATCATTGTTTGTGATTTACCGTTGAGATCTTAAAAAAATTTAAAAGCTCAGCACCAAGCTAAAATAGACCCAAATTGACATCATTTAGCTCTATAATGTAACTAATTTAATTGTCTATGATAGCCTTAAAAGCTGTTGATTTAATAGGCTTAATAAAGGCATTGCCACCTAAAATGAAGTGTTACCCAAAGTAGTTTAATCACTATGGTAACGTATTCTATGTAGTGGATCACTGAGTGCTTAATAGAGTAGAATCTTGAAGGATGAGGTATAATTTAATAATGGATTAATCAGAAAATAGACCAGGCTGAATACTGCCACTCAACAAGGAACAATTACACAAGTGGCAAATTGTTTTAGAAGTCTGTTTCTAGAGTTAGCACCAGTAGTTTACACACTGAAGAGAGAGCTACAGGATAGCCTTTTATTTTTATTTTATGTGAATACAAATAATGTATCTTTATTTATAAAACACTGTCAGTGTAACTGAGTTTTTCTTTTAAACAAATATAATGTATTGCAAGTGAGGTATTCCCATAGTTTAAATCCATTTTTAGGATTTGAAGTTTAAACGGAAGAGAGAGCTGCACCTAGAAGACCTGGATGTCCAGCAAAGTTGGGGAAACAAGTCGGAGGAACAATGGTTAGCTTCTACGGAATAGCTTTATGCTGATCAGTTGGAAAACTTTCATTTATCTTTTCAAAGACTTAAACATTTCATTAGATGTAAAGAGTTTTTTTTTTTAGATATGATTTGTGGATATACAATATTTGTTCATAATTGTACTAACATAATAAATAACATAATAAAGTGGTATATTCAAGTATTTTTGAAACTGATCAATGATTATTGGTAACTGTCTCTAGTAACTGCTGGTGGAACATTTTTACATGTCTCAATTTTAATGATGTAATTTTTTTATGTGAAATTTCTGTTTTGTTTAGGTTCTTGGTGTTTTTGTGTTTATTATTATTATTAATTATCATACATTCTCTTGTTCTAATACATTATAACAGATGACTGTGATTAAGCTGTATGATTCCTTTTCTGTTTACTGTGCCATTTTTCTATAGCTCTACATATTCTGTGCTAAAAAGTGACATTGATAGCCATTGACAATTAATTTGTGTTGATTAAGCAAAAAATTGCTAGTAATGTGGTGTATTAAAAAAAATAATAAAATATTGACTGAATATATTAAAATTACTATTTAATGTTTCCACTGTGAAAATTCTCTGTCAAAATCAATTTGTGAAATCAATGATAGTCGAAAATTGGTCAGTCAAGTATACTTTCTCATTTGCATAAAACATATATTTTAAATTAGGTTGCAAGCTTTTGGTCACTGGATGCCCTAATTAATAAGGTTAATTTACGTGAGAAAGAATGAATTGCGAAGACAGAGAACACATATTTTGTTCAATGGAAAAGCATCCTTCAAAAATCAAATGGGTTGCTTTAAGCACTACAAACAAGATGCTTATGTATCCTCTATGCTTTTTATGAGACAGCAAAACTGCAACAGAATTCCTTCTAAAAAGTCTTACTGCACTACTAAAACAGCAATGCTATTGTTTTGATCTTATCTAAGACCTGATAAAGTATACCCACTAGTAGAATAATGAATAATAATTTAATCCTAAGATGTTTTTTTTGTAAAAATGGAAAAGAATTCTGAGTTTTCTTTAAGAAAGGAAGCTGCCTCCACAGTGGCAGATCCCATGATTTTTGGCAATATATTGCTTTGAATTTAAGGCTTAACCACAACTCCTACTAACAACAAATCTTAGCTAAATTCTAAGTGTATTGGAGTGCATTGGATTAAAAACCACCATATTCTCCCTCTAGTGCTGTCTAGCCAATACTGCTTATCCCATACTCAAACTCAAGTTGTCCAGCTGGCTAGTGTTTCATTAGGAACAGTGACTAAAAGTGACCTCGGCATTTAGATCTATGGGAAAGATAGCAGTAAATAGGGTTGGAAATTGTAGTAGAAAACAAGAAGACATTCAGTGAGCATGATGCTCATGTATTAGTGCAATATGTAAAGATAAAACAGAAGAGCAAATGTTTCTCAGATTAGTAAGAATGTCAAAGCAGAGTCTGATCAGATTGAGTGAGAAGGAACAGTCCAACAACAACTACATATGGCAGAATATTGAAGCGAGGTTGCGCATAAACCCCTTAAATGCACAATTGAGAGTACAGGGGTCAAAACTCATTAGCAACCATTAGCATTTGTCTACAGAGATGTGGAAAAAATCCATGCATGTGGCATACACCAAGGGAAGCAAAATCTATTTTACATCTTGGAGTTTGACTAGGCCATGAGCAGGGGACAGTTCTTACTGTGGTAGCAGAGATTCACTAGACTGCAATCCGGGGGCATGTCTCACTGCCATAGCAGAATTTGACTAGACAGCGAATGAGGGATTTGACTTTTGCATAGAAACCCAGGCAATTTGTAAATCTCTTCTCTTTGAGACTGCCAGAAAAACAGCAAATCCTGGAAATCATATAATCTTTTAACATTTAATGGTAAAACCATTTATTTTATGCTAGCCATTGTGTGGCTCTAATGCCAAAGTTTAGCACTGACACTGCACATGTACTGCCACACATTCTAAAGTAATCACACAATCAAATTCTTTAAACTGATAAATCTCAACATGTGACCTTTTACCACATTTTCTGGGGGCAGTTTCTAATTGTTTCTTTTGATTTTTCAAATGTTGTCTTCCAATAGATTAACTAATTAAATTAAACCTGAGTAAAGGAAATGTCAGTCTTACTTCAATTCACAAAAATATCAAGGAATAACCTTGTAGCATCTGGATAAGGAAGGAGGGGAGAGAAACTCAACTGTTAAAAGTCATATGCTTTATTGAGCTGTATCGGTCACAGCTTTGCCGTACACACATGACCAGAATTCTAACATAGCACTCTAAATTAGCTCTTGATCTAGGCTTTACCCCCAGCTTTGGGGGAAAGAGACAGTGGTTTAAGTACTCAACCCCAGCTCAACTATTCTTCTAATGCCACTGTTCACCATAAAAGTCCCACAGCAAAACATACCCCAAATAACCCTAAACATATTTCCCACACATGCTACACACATAACCCTACAAGTTGATCATGGTAAATCATATGGTTGCTTCAGTTATTGTGTTTAATTTATTATAGCTACGTCATTCTGAGAGATTTACCTCTTTGTGAATTCTTTTCTATGCAATTTGATAAATGGATGTAACTGACATGACCCAGCTTGTCGTATACTTTTGCATGCTGTTTAATGATGCCAGTATCAAGGAAGACTTTCTCACCCTTTTGCCTTTGAATAAGAAAACAAGAGGTGAGGATATATGCTGTGCTTTCAAAATGTATGCAACTGAGAAAAACCTTCCGCTTGAGTGGTGCGCATGCTGGTTTCATCGCACTTTGTAGGAAAGATCTCACTTTTTCTGCCTTTGTCAGCTACCATTGTATCATTTGTCAGCAAGGACTAGCCAGTAAATTAGTAAATTTCTCAAAAGTGATGGTTGTTGTGGTTAAAATTGTAAACTTAATTTGTGCTAAGGCTTTTCAGCATTGCTTATTTAAGTTATTATTTGATGAGATTGATGCTAAATATGGAGACTTGATTCTGCATGTGGATGTATGCTGGTTAAGTGGGAAGGTGCTCCACCGCTTCAGTGATTGGCTGCCAGAGATTACAACTTTTTTGAAGTCAAGGACACATGGCTGCTTGAGTTGGCTTTTCTGACGGACCTAATGTTAAACTTAGCATTGTGAACATCCCAACTAAAGCTGGAGGAGCTTAACAAAATATAAGACATTGTGACATTAATTTCAGACCCTTTTCTTACCACTGAGATTAAGGATCTGTCAGCAAAATTCCAACAGATATTTGATCTGCCAAATGGAGTCGACATGGAAATAATTGGCCTACAAAATGGCATGGCAATGAAATGAAACACACAAGCGTAACAGAAGCTACAAATATATATATATATATATATATATATATATATATATATATATATATTATATATATATATATATATATATATATATACATACACACACACACACACACACACACACACACACACACTCTAGCTATGCCACTTATCCTCCTGGGTTGCGGGGGGTGCTGGAGCCTATCTCAGCAGTAATCGGACGGAAGGCAGGAAACACCCTAGACAGGTTGCCTGTCCATTGCAGGGCAGGCACACAAACATATATACATTCACACTTGGGGGCAATTCAGCATCTACAATTCGCTTGACTGCATGTCTTTGGACTGTGGGAGGAAACCGGAGCACCCGGAGGAAAACCATGCAGACACGGGGAGAACATGCAAACTGCACACAGAAAGGACTCTGGTTGCCCAGCCAGGGAATCGAACCTGGGCCCTTTTTGCTGTGGGGCGAAAGTGCATGTATTGGTACCTGCGTGCCAAATTTTGTAGTCCACTTTGGGGAAAATGCTCATTACAACTGCATTTCTGTCTTTTTATGTTATTTAATCATTTAGATAATTGACGTAATGCCAGATATAACTGAATATGGGGATAACGTGACATGTTACACTGTACAACCTGCAATGTGCAGCACCTCTAATTCATTGTTAAGCTACATTTTTAACACAAACAGCAAGGGGTGATCGGATGGTTTTCCTTTCCTATATGCTAACACTTATCTAAGACAAATAACTGACATATGATGACATATGCAATTCATGGCTTTAGGTGATTAGTCTCATTGATGAAGAGAAATCTTTCCCTGAGAGAAGTGGTTCTAACAAGTGTTCAAAGAAGCTGTTTGTGTCCACTTTTGAGCTTCATTTCACAAATAATTTGTCTTCCCATACAGAAAAGGCTGTGTAATATATGTGAGACACGTTTCAAATATATTGTTTCATTTCAAAATGTTTTGCAAACACTTGACTACATCAAATAAAAAAACAATTTTTGGCCACTTTCATAAATAATTATATTTTACCATTTCTGTCTGTAATGCTGGGTTGATTAACCAGACAGAAACATGATACATGTGCAGAACATGATACATGTGAGAGGGCAAAACCTGAAGTAGAAAAAAAAAGCGAGGGTCAAAGCCAAACAGCCAAACAATAGGTAATATTAGCCAAAGGAGTAAATCCGAGAATCAACAATGAGAAAACAAAACAAGGTCATGTACAGTATATCCAGCAAAACAAAAGAACAGTTCGGTACACACTGACGAAACAAAAGCAATACTTCAAAAAGACGGAGTGAAACAGACAGATATATATATACACAGGGTAACAGGTGATAACAATCAGTATTCAGGTGACTGGGATCTGCTGGTTGATGGATGATTGTTTGGCGAAGTCACATGATAAACTAAGGGATCGTGGGAATTGGAGTTCATAGTGTAGTATGAGTCTGACAGAGAACAGGGAAGAGTGACACAGTCAGAGTTGCTATCTCTAGTCAGTTAACTAGCCTTCTTAACCATTTTCTCTAAATTCAGATGAAATTAAACCATAAAGCCTATCTGTAATAACTACATTCAATAGCCAATTTGTGTAATTATTATTTTACTTTTTCCCCAAACAAATTTGGTCAAAACCTTAACAGTGTAATTAAGATTAGTCTGGCTAATCAGATCCATTTCAACAGAGTTGAAGATACGTGGCTGACCAGAGGTAACAACAGACAATATCTATTTTCAAAACAAGTATGAAGACGTTATGTTTCATTGCAACCGTACTGTTTAATGTATGTAGTTTATAGTATACATACTGCCCTACAAGTGAACCAGCTCTAATTTAGCTAACTCACAAATAATAACTGCTAGCTATGCTATCTATGTAGCTACTGATGTGCTGCTAACACTGGGTGGTAATGACTGTGATATGTGACTGTGCAATTAAGTGAAATGCAAGAAAAAACACAGAAATGCCAGTGAGCTTGAGAAAAGTGCTATATAAACAATAATGAGGATGATGTTTCATAATGGGTGATATAGTGTAGTGAGTAACCTCACTGCCCCCATGTGTTAGATTGGGGTTCAATCTACTGCCTGTACAAGTGCACCATGATAAACCAGTAAGAGTCCTTGGCCACGACCCCTAATGCTATGTTCGCCTACGTCTGCGAATCGTATGTTGCTCTGAATTAGAGCCAAACATGTAAATGTAAAATGATATCATCAGATGCACCTTTGAAATCCTCTTTCTTTTTATTTGCTCTTGAATTCTGCGGAATTTCATGCTGCCCAAAACATAATGACGCTTTATTTTTTATAAGGAGCGAGTGTTTTGCATTTTTGTTCATATGACATACAGTACAACATCAACATGAACACTGTTTTATTCTGTTCTACAGAGTGACAGAAAATCGACAGAAGAGGAGAGAATGAAAATTGAAGAATCTGCTCTGCTGACCGGTGAGAAGAAAATCATTGCACACTTAACAAGGATGGCGCTATTCAGTTCTGTATCTACTTCTAACGGATAAACGCCCATTCATATTTTGAAGTGTACCCCATTCCCAAAGAGGATTTCATTGAACACTTGAAATTAAAATTCCAATTACATCAGCACCCTTGATTTCCCTTTAGGGGCTCCTGCTGTTTGATGCTCACTGCCCCCTAGTGTTCACTAGTGTGTATGTGGTGTTTCACTGCACGGATGGGTCAAAATGCAGAGGTGAAATTTCTAACTAAACTAATAAGGGTCACTTAACACTCAGAAACTTAACAGAAAGAGTTTGATAGTAGGATGAATGAAAAAGACCAAGAGTTAGAAATACTGAAAAAAAAGCCTCTCAGAGATGGAGAAAGAAAACAAAAAGCAACTAGAGGAGAGAAATAAGATTTTAGAAGAGAAAAACAAACAAATTAAAAACAGTAAAAAGCAGCTGGAGACTCTGAGAAAGGAACTGCAGGACAAGAGCAGCAAACTACAGGAGATGATGATCCTACTGGAACAACAGAAAACTGAAATGAGTGAAAAAGACAAACAGCTTGAGAAGGAGAGACTTCTATGTGAGAGAAACAAGCAGCTGCAAGAAAGACCAGACTCACTAGAAGCAGTCAGAAGAAGACTCAGTAAGGAGAATGCCTATGACTGTATGTAAAAAGTTTAAAACATGGGTGTCACTAGAAATTCACAGATTGGTGGGGGGCTAAACCTTTACTAGAGGGTCATTTATGGCCCTGAAATGTTTATCATTAACGTTTAGACTAGCGATTGGCAAAAAACTGTTGATCAAAAAATAGAACTACTTGGTGACACTGAGAAGACATTTGCATAGTTTGTATTAAGGATCTAACCGACTTTAATTCTGTTGAAAGTGGATGGACAGAAATGGGGGGAAGGACAGACTTGATGTGTTTCCTATTTAAACATACATGCAAATGTTCACAGTTGTTCATTTTGGAACTAAACGCATTTACTTCATAATACATAAAATGTACCCATTTATGACTCACCAAACCTTTTTTGCTTCCTTTAGCTAGCTAATGCTGCGTTTCCAGTCAACGCGTTTTGAGATCGTCTGCAGTAGGTCGCTCCTAAAAATCACATTTAATTATTGACAGCAAACCCGTAGCTAAATCTGCGAAGTTAAACCAGCGAAAGTCGAGTTTCAACTGTTATATTATAAGGAAAGTAGGCACTGTAATCTTGGGAAGCCTACAAATTTGTAGCTAGCTATCATTACTTTTTTTTTTAAATTAACCTTGTTTAGCTAGCGTTAGCTAGCTAACAAGCTAACTCGCAAGCAAAACGCAAAGACAGTCTGTAAAGTACCAATCAGCTGTCTATCCTGCTACTAACCATAATTTTACATGTACAGCACATATTCTTCTTAAAAAAAAAGCAGACTTTCGAATCCTTACCTTGAAGAGTCGTCTACAACAGAAAAGCTGCACTTTCTGAGCGAAGTAATGGCGGACAGCAAAACTCGACGAGGAGTGATCTGTCATGACGTCATGCGGTCACGTGACATCAAAACGTCTGGCTTGAAGTAAAAATATTATTTCAGTATAATTATTAAGTTTTTTGGGGGGGAATGTTATTTGCTTTTGGGCAAACTGAACAAAACAGGTTTGAACAGGAAATCATGATTGTCAATTAGACCAATATAAAAATACACTTTAAATAAATGACATGGTTGTTTCACTTTTTTCAGTGAATTCAATTCTTAGATGCATCGCGATGCGGATGTGAACGATTCTCTAAAAATCGATTTTCTAAATGTTTAATTTATAAAGTAATGTTGACGGAACGCAAAGGGCAGAACTTGGAAGTGGGTAAGTGCAGCGCCCGGACAGTCTGTGGCGGCACATAACAAAAACACTACTGGACGAGTGAGAAATCCAACCGGCTCCCTTTGCATTAAAAAAGCCAGGTTAGATAAGGAGTCACAGCCCAAATGATAAGAAGAGACATTTTGTCCTTTCAACAGAAAACAAACCACCTTGGGAGCCACAACATTTAATGCCCAGTATGTCCAGTATGTGATAATGTCCCAGTATAGGCTAAAAAATATAAATGAAAATGCAGACTTACTTCACTCTGCTTTAAGCTTTAAATATAGCCGCTTTCCTCCCATCTCTGCCAGGACACTTTTCCTCAAAACTAGAACAGTTTCTTGTAAAATGTCTCTGAGTGTTCGATTTTACGAGGCATTGCCCATACAGGTCTCAGATTCAAAGTAGCCAATTAACTGAATTCGGCGCCAAATTCCGAACACTCCACCCGTTTTCAGAATCAGTTCATTTCAAGAAGCAGCAGTGGTTATGGCCGGTTCAGTGAACGAGTTTGGAAAGTTAACTGAAAGAGGTAAATTAAAGAAAACACAGTTCAAACTGATAAAGGCTTCAGAAAGATGGTTTACTACAGAAAAAAATGAAATGCAACATCTGTGGGCACAAAATGAAATTAAAACGCAGAAAATGTGTAGACTCCTATGCATGGTAAGATAACTTTAAAACTGAAACAAGCATGAATTTAGTTTGTCCTTTTTTGTCATTATGGATTCTTTTTAATATGTAATACATATAGAATAGGCTATTTTAGAATATTTTTAAAACATTACACTCTCCTTCTCTTAATTAGGTTCATTAGGTTACCTGGTCCTGTTTAATAGGCTTTTTAGATATTTTTTGTTAATTGACAAGTTTATTTCATTTACTACAAATATAAATCAGTACCACATGTTAAAGTGCATGGTTTAATCGTAGGAAGAAAGCTGCAAGCTAGATCTTGGATTACATTGATTCATATTAAATGAACAACCTTGGAAAAATACTGACATTATTGAAACACAAACCTCATGTAAGCTGTGTACATTTATTAATTTATGTGTTTCAGTACATTTCATAACTGATGTGTGGCATGTCAGCGGACATCCCACAGGAACCAGAGTAGTACAAAAGCTGTTAGGCATAAGTCCATATTCAGCCATTCAAAAATTCCTCCCTTTGAGTGGGTGAAATTCATTTACAGGTTAGGAACAACACAATGACAGCATAATTCTGACAAGCAAACAACAAGAACGAATATTTTTCAAAATGTCTGAGACAACCGTCTGAGTCCATATACGTTAGTCAGAATTTGAAAAGCCCATTCTTGCTAAATCTACAATGAAGAGTTACAGCCTACTGTATGTTTTGTGTTGCAAGATTCTCACAGGGTTTGCGACTGAGGCAGGTTGACATGATGGCGGATGGTATAGCAGGGAGCTCTACCACCTTATCAAAGATGGCAAAGAAAATAAGAGAAGTTTGCATCACAGCAATGGAAAAGCGAAGGAGACAAAGGGCCACACAAGAGAAAGGTATGCCTTTTTCTGAACACAAGCAATTTGTTGTCATTCCTCAATATAACATGTATACATTGGAATAATATATACACTATTTGGACAGAAATATTGGGACACCTACACATCACACCTACAGGAGCTTTTATAACATCTCATTCTAAATCCATAGGCATTAATATGGAGTTGGTCAGCCTTTGCAGCCATAACAGCTTCCACTCTTCTGGGAAGCTTCCTGCAAGACTTTGGAGTGTTTCGGTGGGAATTTTTGCCCATTCATCCAGAAGAGCATTTGTGAGGTCAGACACTGATGTTGTTCTTCCACACCAAACTCACCCAGCCATGCCTTTATGGAGCTGCTTTGTGCACTGGGACTCAGTCATGCTGGAACAGAAAAGGTTCTTCCCCAAACTGTTTACACAAAGGTGGAAGCATAAAATTGTCCTAAATGTCTTGTTCTGCTGAAGCATTAAGGTTTCCCTTCACTGGAACATACCGATCATGTGATCGGTCAACGTTTTTCTGATAAACAATCTGAGGTTTGATTTTGTTCTTAAATATTCTACATAATTCATTTCTTCATGACCATTTTCCAGCCTCTCCTTATTCCTTGCAATTAAACAGGCTGTTTTTGTTACAGTGCCTTCAATACTGATATCTATATGTAAGCTCTGTTGTGATTGGTTGTCCTGCATTGTTCAAAAACCATTTCGATTCAGTTTTGAGTGGGTGGGGCTAAACTGCTGTAGGCAGAATAGGTGGATACATACATGAATAGATTGCGGCTTATTTTACATATTTGGACTGTATGGACTGCTGGACTTTTGAAATTGCAGGAGTGTTTATACAACATTGAACTATTTCATTTTTCAAAAGTGAGGAAAAAGCTTTTTTATGATATGGACCCTTTAAATAAATAACAACTCTAATAAACCCTGTATTCTCTCAGCAGGTTATTCAATAAAATATCTGAAAAATGGATTACAGTAACAATAAAGAATAAACAGGCTGCAAGACTGCAAGATATTTTAATATTTTATTTTTTTGTTGATGCTTGTGTGTGTGTGTGTGTGTGTGTATGTGTGTGTGTGTGTGTGTGTGCAAGCAAGCAAGCAAAGTTTATTTATATAGCGCTTTTTACAACAGGTGTTGTCACAAAGCACCTTTAAAGAAAAATCAGCATTACAGAAAGAAAAGGAAATAGAAAGAAAATCCGGGTCCAAACCCCCATGAGCAAGCCAGTGGCGACAGTGGCAAGGAAAAACTCCCTAAGAGCAAGAGGAAGAAACCTTGAGAGGAACCAAGACTCAGAAGGGGAACCCATCCTCCTCTGGTCGACACCGGATAGTAAACATTGTTAGTATAAAGTGTTATAGTAAAAAGTGGGAAAAACAGGTGGGGCAAAGGTTAATTTGATTAGTTTATGATTGTGTGAGTGTGTTATTTTGTGTGTGTGTCTTGTTTTTCTGTGTATGATTTCTTCTTTTTAAATGTGTGTAATTCTGTGTGTATTAGGGTCAGTTCTTTTTTCTGTGTGTCATTTTGTGTGTTTGTGTGTGTGCTGTCTATGGGTGGCCGTTTAGGGTGAAATACACTAAAACATTCACACACCACTAAAACACTCGCACAGGCCACTGAAACACTCACACATGCCACTGAAACACTCGAACACACCCCTGGAATACTCACACACACCACTGAAACACTTGGACATGCCACTGAAACACTCGCACACACCATTGAAACACCTGCACATTCCATTGAAACACTCGCACACACCATTGAAACACTCGCACACACCATTGAAACACTCGAACACACCATTGAAACGCACACACCACTGAAACACTTGCAAACGCTGCTGAAACACTCGCACACGACCCTGAAATACTCACACATGCCGCTGAAACACTCGCACACACCAATGAAACACTCGCACACACCAATGAAACACTCGCACACACCATTGAAACACACACACACACCAATGAAACACTTGCACACACCACTGGACATTCGCACCCACCCCTGAAACACTCACACACACCACTGAAACATTCACACACCGCTAAAACACTCGCATACGCCACTGAAACACTCGCACATGCCACTGAAACACTCACACATGCCACTGAAACACTCGAACACACCCCTGAAACACTCACACACACCACTAAAACACTCGCACACACCATTGAAACACCTGCACATGCCATTGAAACACTCGCACACACCATTGAAACACTCGCACACGACCCTGAAACATTCACACATGCCGCTGAAACACTCGCACACGACCCTGAAACACTCGCACACGACCCTGAAACATTCACACATGCCGCTGAAACACTCACACACACCACTGAAACACTCACACACACCACTGAAACACTCACACACACCACTGAAACACTCGCACATGCCACTGAAACACTCGCACACACCACTGGACATTCGCACACACCCCTGAAACACTCACACACACACTACTGAAACACTCGCACATACCGCTGAAACACTTGCACACACCAATGAAACACTCGCACACACCACTGAAACACTCGCACACGCCACTGAAACACTCACACGCCATGTTTCAGTGGTGTGTGTGAGTGTTTCAGTGGTGTGTGCGAGTGCAAGTTTTTCAGTGTATTTCAGTGTTAACGACCACCCACAGATTTCTTCTTCCACTTTTTGTGTTTCTCCATTTGTTCTTCTCTCTGTCTCTCTCAGGTCATGCTGCCATCTGTGGGGTCTCTTCGCTCTCGTTTCACCTCCATGTCTCTCTCTTCCTCCATCAGCGTCTCTGTCCATGGTCAGAGAGGAACCATCCTGTCCTCCATTGAATTATATCCGTCATCCATCTGTTCCTGCACCGGTCTGGGATATAACACCTGCCTGCCTTCATCACCACAGTTTATGTCGTTCTTCTGTCCAGAAGAACGTCTTGGGACAAAGACTTGTTGGGTTCTCTATAAAAAAAAACCTTTAATAGTTTAGTGACCATGACTAGGACTAAAAGATTCACAGTTTAGGGACCAAGACTAGGACTAAAAGATGCACAGATTAATGACCAAGACTAGGACTAAAAGATCCACAGATTAGGGACCAAGACTAGAACCAAAAGATCCACAGTTTAGGGATCATGACTAGGACTAAAAGATTCATAGTTCAGGGACCATGACTAGGACTAAAAGATTCACAGTTTAGGGACCATGACTAAGACTAAAAGATCCACAGTTTAGGGACTATGACTACGACTAAATGATCCATAGTTTTGGGACCATGACTGGGACTAAAAGATCCACAGTTTAGGGACCATGACTAGTACTAATAGATTCATAGTTTAGGGACCTTGACAAGGACTAAAAGATCCAAATTTCCTCCACGTCTATCTCTTCCTCCATCAGCGTTCCTCTCTGTCCATGGAGGAGTGAACTCCACTCTAGTCCTTCTCTCATTCTTACCTCTCTCCATCCTGTCCTCCAGACTCCAGACATATCCGTCATCCATAGTCTGCCCTGGAGCACAGAAATAGTAGCCAGCATTTAAGTTACAACATATTTCAAATCAGCTTATCTAAATGTTATATTTCATTTATTGTGACTCATCTCGCAGTTTTGGAGATTCAACACCAATCGACTCAATAATTTTCACTTTGATTGTGAGAGGTGTGCTTCTACACCATAGCAAACTCTTAGCAACACCCTAGCAACCACTTGGGATGCCACAGCAACCTATTAGCAACACTCTAGCAATCACTTGGGATACCATAGCAACCTCTTAGCAACACCATAGCAACCACTTGGTTACCATAACAAACTCTTAGCAACACCCTAGCAATCACTTGGGATACCACAGCAACCTATTATCAACATGCTAACAATCACTTGGAATATGACAGCCACCTCTTAGCAACAACCTAGTGACTACTTGGGATACCATAGCAACACCCTACCAACCACTTGGGTACAATAGCAAACTCTTAGCAACACCCTACCAACCACTTGGGATACCACAGCAACCTATTAGCAACACTCTTGCAATCACTTGGGATACCACAGCCACCTCTTAGCAAAAACCTAGTGACCACTTGGGATACCATAGCAACCTCTTAGCAACACCCTAGCAACCACTTGGGATACCACAGAAACCTATTAGCAACACAAAAACCTAGTGACCACTTGGGATACCATAGCAACCTCTTAGCAACACCCTAGCAACCACTTGGGATACCAGAGAAACCTATTAGCAACACATAGCAACCCACAGAAATACCATAGCACCCACATAGCAACCCCGCAGCAACAACCTGGAATGACATAATAACCCATTAACAACACACTAGCAACCATCTGGGATAACATAGCAACTGCCTGGTTACTCCGTAGCAATGACTGGAAACACTAGAACAACTAAAAAATAACATCCAACCAACTACTTTGGACATCATATCAGCTCCTTAGCGACACCCTGGCAACCATTTGGAATATCACTGCAAACACCTAGCAACCACCTAGCAATCACTTACAATACGCTAGCAACTATCTAGCAACACCCGAGCAACACCAGAACTGCTTGAGCTCTTCAGAAAATTATATTTTTAAGATATCATCATAATATTTTATACTTCTTTCTTCATCTTCATCATTTCATTCTCTGCTTTAACAATAATATCAGCATTAATAATATCAGCATTCGTCCTGTTAACTCAGAGTGATCATGATGCTGATCATGAGAAATGACTCTTCTCCTCACCCATAGCTGTGGTGTTAGATGTTCCACAATCTTGTTATCTGTTCATTTCATTTACTCACCCAGAGGTTCCTCCTGAGGTTCCTCCTCAATGTCCTCCTGGCGGATGCCTAACAGTTCTTTCAGGCTTTCAGTAGCCTTCATCATCCACCTTGTCATCTCGTCCTCTGCTTTAACAATAATATCAGCATTAATAATATCAGTGTTCGTCCTGTTAACTCAGAGTGATCATGATGCTGATCATGAGAAATGACTCTTCTTCTCACCCATAGCTGTGGTGTTAGATGTTTCACAATCTTGTTATCTGTTCATTTCATTTACTCACCCAGAGGTTCCTCCTGAGGTTCCTCCGCAATGTCCTCCTGGTGGATGTCTAAGAGGTCTTTTAGGCTTTCAGTAGCCTTCATCATCCACCTCGTCATCTCATTTTCTGCTTTAACAATAATATCAGTATTAATAATATCAGCGTTCGTCCTGTTAACTCAGAGTGATCATGATGCTGATCATGAGAAATGACTCTTCTCCTCACCCATAGCTGTGGTGTTAGATGTTCCCCAATCTTGTTATCTGTTCATTTCAT